AGTTCAGTCTTAAAAGGGAGACAGTTGTCCTTAATTTGTGCACTTGACATGTGAATTATCTTTTGTTTGTTGGAAACTGGTGCTGCTCCACACCCCTCCCTAAATCCTCTTCAGCTTTCTTTGGAAATGGGGCAGAGTTATGTGTACAGTCATAGGGAATGACATTTTTGCACTGAGCAAGTTTGGATTCATTCTGTGTTACTGTTCCATGACTCTTCCCCGTAAGAATTGTCATTAAATTTGGTTAGAGGGTATATGGGATAGCAGTTCTTATTACAGTTAAGTTTTGTATTTAAAATAGCTTAATTTATAGAAATATGAGCATTGGTTTCTGTATTTTACAAAAAGTCTCTCTTTAAGGTTCCTTGCTCTGATGAGTTTCTCTTCCTGCTTTTCTTCCTGTCCTTGGTTTAATAGACTATAGGAATGCAGATGGAATTAGTTAAGAAAGCTCTAGATTTTAGTGTAGGAAGAGAGGCAGAAAAGTTAGTAGGTAGAGAGCTTTTAGAAAACTACCACAGGAGCAAGAGAAGTGAGTGCCTTCAAAAGGTGTTTCCTTGTTTCTTAAATGGTTTTCAGGAATTGCTTTTCTCCTATATACTCTGCAGCAGTAGACCTGTGATGTAATCTACTTTCTCTTCTTTCCTCAAATATACAAAACTCCATCTACCCACTTGAGGAGTGGGTAGAAAATAAGATTACTTATGATAAATTAGAACTTAATTTTTTTTTAGTTCTTTGGTGGTGTTTTTATTTGTTTCATATTTCCACTATGTTATTCTTAATAAGTTTCTTACTGCTGTTTGTCTTGACTTACTTAAAGGTGTGCTATGTGGCAGAACTGTAGGGTAGGAAATGTAAAGATTCAAATTCAACATAGGGCAAAATAAATGTTTTTAAATTTGAAAATAGTGAAACTTCATTGTGCAGGTAACAAAGTCATGATCTATGGGGAAAATAAGTAATATTTGCGCTTGATTTTTCTTACGAAGTGTTGGTTCATATTTGGAGAAAAAGAAAGAGTTATTTGGTGCTCTCAACTGCCAGTTCCATATCTTAATACTATTTGAATCCAAGCTTTCAAGGAGTGGAAGAAAGCTTTCTTTTTAATATATTCCTCTCCTAAAGCTTTTTGAAGAACAAACCCCCCAAGACTCTGTTTGCAGCTGTAAAGATTACAACTTATACCAAGATGAAAGCTTGGTGTCCTGTTAATTTATTGTTTTAAGGAAGTGAAATTACTTGCACTGTTTATAGTTTGGCTATGCTAAGTAATAACAGTTTTGTTTCTAACAAGCAAGATATTTCTGTCAACCCTAAACAGCTTGGTTGCTTTCATTTTACTCTGACGTTTTTAGCAAAACACAGAACAGACTTTATAAAGTCCTTTTGTATGATTCTTCACAAGGCAGCTATGAGCTCACTTGTTAGTATTTCTGTAATGGAAGTATTATTTTAAGTGTAAAGTTGGTGAGAAGGACACAACATTAAAAATAATTGCTGTATTTTAGAGGGGTTTAGTATATTGATGTTCTTGTTAAACCAAACATTTTCATCAAATAGTCTTTATTTCAGCACTGGGGAGAAGTATTTACTTTTTTTTTTTCTCTTTTTGCATGCCCAGTTGTAACAGAGACTACAGGTAGTGTTTCAGGAGTAAGCCTTACATCAGAACTAAATGAAGAATTGAATGACTTAATTCAGCGCTTTCACAACCAACTTCATGATTCTCAGGTCAGTCCTTGGATTGCAATGTCCAAGTTTTGCCATTGTCTGTTTTTCTAATTCTTTTGAACAGTGCAGTTCAATGCTTGTCTTGCTTATTTTTGTGCATTTGCTAGTGGAGTAATTAGGGTTCCCCCACACTTGAAAACTCAGTACCTTGGTATTGCTAGCTGACTGATCTATGCTTTCTCTCTCACAGTTTTCCATGAACATCCAGAGAAGTAGTTTCTATATTGCAATATAATTATATATTAACTCAGTATATAATTGGGATATCATGAAAGTGTACTCAGTATCAGTTTCCCTTTATAATGTTCTTTGTTCTGGTGTTGAGCCTAGCAAGCCTATAAGAGAGCTTTTTGTTTCTTCTAATTTATTTTACTTTTTTCATAGTACTCTTGAATAAAATGAAATTACTCTCATTAGACACAACCTGTGCCAGACAACAGAAGGCAAGCAGAAAGTCTTTCACTTACCAGAGAGATTTCACAAAGCAGAAACTCTTCAATGTCCGAATACCTGTCAGATGAGAAGGCTCAGCTTTTTAACAAGATGCGAATGTTGCAGGGTAAAAAGCAAAAAATGGACAAACTGTTAGGAGAACTTCATACACTTCATGACCAACATCTAAATAACTCCTCCTGTAAGTAAATATAGGCAGAATTGTATCTTTTCAAGAATACCACTTCTTTAACGTGCGTGTTTGTGACATGGTCTTTCAACTTACAACTAGTTAATGAAATGCAGGTGAGAAGACTGCTGGGGCAATATTATGTAAATGTTTTTTAGTGCTGTATAAATTTCTGGTTTAACAGAGAGCTCTACAAGTGATGATGAGAGTTTTTGCTAGTAGCACTTCAGTTTATAACATTTTCAAAGTTGACTAATGTGAGGATGTGATGATGGGATTTTTTTATTCAAGACTTGTCTGTGACACATCTGACATGTGCAGTGTAACATATAAACTTGAGATTTCTGTATTTTTATCAGGGTCCATCTCTATTTATGTACTTGGCACTTCAGATCTTAGTAGCTCTCTGGCGTTATGGGGTTTGCTTGTCCACTGTCAAAAGACTTCCTCACGCACTAGTTGCAGGGATTTCAGCCATAGGCCATACCAGAGGAACTTAACTGTCTGAACAGATTGAGTTTTGGCCTGTTCCATAGATGGCTTTTTCTTCTCATTAAAGTCTTGATGTAAGCCTACTTGCTGCTTTTGCTTTCCGTTTCTAGAAATACATTTGTACTGGTAAAGTTTGTCCTACAGCTGGAGACTTCTGAGGGGCAATCACAGCGTATTCTGGTTAACATTAAGAAATGAGGCGCTTGAAGCATGCTCCTGGAGAAGCACAGACTGATTTAATAGTTACATTACTATACCCCCGTCTTTCTGCATGTATTTAATGCATATAATATGAACATATTTGGATGTAATTTCAGATAGCTGGAAAAAGCAAACATCAATTCTCAAATCTACATTCTACAGCATATGAGCGCAAGAGCTTGGCAGAGGAAAAAAATTGATACATTTTTTTTTATCATGTTGAAATGTTAAATTAAAAAAAAAAATCAGCCATAAATAAACCCTTAAAAGAACTCTTCAGACAGATTCACAGCATGAAAGCTTCCACTTATGAAGTTCGATAAAGCTGAAAGGAACCGACTGAGTTCTTGTTTACAAAACCTACTTATTATTCTCTGCCTTTTGGCATTACATGGCATGAAACTTAAGACAAAAGCTTTTGTTAGAAGTTATTAATTGCTGTTTATATGTTAGTAATATTTTCTGTAGTTACATTTGAATATAACTCAGTTAAGTGGGTCCCTTTTTGCAAGTTGTTCTTATGAGCTATATTTCTTTTCTGTAGTTTTTCCTGCTTCAGGTTCTCCTCAAAGGAGTATTGATCAAAGAAGTACAACTTCAGCTGCTTCCGGTCCTGTAGGCATAGTAACTGTTGTTAATGGCGAATCAAATAGCCTGGCGTCTGCTCCCTATCCTCCTGATTCCATGGCTTCTCAGAATGAAAGTGAAGAGGATGACAATCTAAACCCAACAGAAAAGCTTCAGTAAAAGTTCTTTAATTTTTTTTCATAATGTGCTTTAGTGATTTTGAGTGTTACTTAAATTTCTGTGTTAAGAAACCATTTCCTATTTTAATCTACTTAATTTGGTATTATAGAGCATCTAGTAAATGGTCCAAGACAGTTTAATGAGCTCAGAGCTTCAAGCAGGAGGTTCTTGGAGTTTCAAACAGGAGGTTTTTACAGCTAGGAAAATGGCAGTAAACTTTAAGAACTATAAATTTTATATATAGTTTTCAACTCTACATAATTTGATTGATAAGACAAAACACATAGCATATTCTTTCTTTTTTCCTCAGGAAGCTAAATGAAGTTCGTAAGAGGCTGAATGAGTTGCGTGAGTTAGTTCACTACTATGAGCAAACATCTGATATGATGACAGATGCTGTGAATGAAAACACAAAGGAAGAGGAAGAAACAGAAGAATCGGAAAGTGATTCTGAACATGAGGATCCACAGCCTGTTAGAAATATTAGGTTGTCATATTTTTTGTCACCCTAAGTCTTTTTAGCTAAATTATTACAGGTTTCTCGAAGCAATATGTTATTTCAGTCAACCAGAACTAACTTAATGTTGTGATTACATTAACTTTCCAGAATTTTTAATTTGAAGTGCCTTTTTATACAGGTAAGTAGTAATAATCTCTGTGAAGAAGCAAATGTATATTAGATTGGATATTTAGAAAATCATTATGAGAGACTTCAAAATCTGTAATTCCTTTGAGATTAAACACCAAATTATGTGTATAGAATTTCACTAGAAAGTTAACAAGCCTAGACTAGGGAATTGGAATAAAAACAAACTTCAGTTTAGAGAGGCATTTAAAGGTATAGTCTAACAGGGCAACTATGTGGATCAAGGATCTTCATTGTGCAGAAACTAATACTAATTTAGGTGTGAATCATGTAAAGCTTTTATAATATAGACATATACCTTGAAAGCCTCTTGTATCGTTGTAGATCTAGCAGGGGATAATTCATAGCTGCTTCTGATTGCTTAAAAAAAAAAAAAAATCTATGGGAGAGATGGATATTGAGAAATTCCCAAAATCGGGACTGATTTTATATGGGGTTGATTTTTTTTTTTTTTTTTTTTTTTAAGGAATTGGGACATATTCCTATAAAATGAAATGGCTGGAGTAAAATTCCATTGATACCAGTTCTTAAAAAGTTAACATGAATAATGTATTTTACCCTAGAAACCCTCAAGGAGTCAGTAGTTGGAGTGAAATAAATAGCAACTCAAATGTACAGTGTGGAACTAATAACAGAGATGGAAGACATCTTAATACAGATTGTGAAATAAATAACAGATCTGCTGCTAATATAAGGAGTCTAAAAACATCTTCTACACTAGGTATGTTCTAAAATTTTCTAATAATTTTAAGTCTTAGTGCAAATAAGTCTGATAGCCACACAGAATCTGGGAAAACCTTGTTTGAGAAGCAAAATGTTTAAGAGTCTAATCATTAAGCTGACATTTTTTGAATGTCCAGTAATTACAGTGGACTTCAGAAGTTCAATAATGTGTCATTGGTACTGTTTTGTTTCCTCCTTTCCCCACCTCCAGACTGTCATAATAGGGAGGATGACAAAGATATCGACCTACCCCAAGGTGAAGATGATGAAGTGGAAGAAGATAGAGTTAGTGAAGATTCCATATCTAGTCACAGAAGCAGCCTGGGTGATGCTGCTGGAGATGCTGAGTTTGAGCAGAAGATCAATAGGCTTATAGCTGCAAAACAGAAACTTAGACAGTTACAAAACCTTGCTGCTATGGTGCAGGTATTTTATGAATATAAATCTGTGCAAAAAATGTAGCATTCATTATTCGTATAATGTATTACTTTTAATAGGGAAAACCACCCTGCTTAGTATAGCATTTAAAATAATCATTTTTAGACTGGGAAAAAGAGACACTGTTTGATTTTTCTGAAGTCGAGGGTGATACTTCTGAAGTTCAAATCTGGAATTTTCTTGAGGGATGCTAACCTAACAGAAGAGTGGCCTTAATACTTAACCTGAGAACTGGATTACAAAATATGAACCAAGAAGTCTAACATTTCTTTAAATACTATGGATCTACATTTTTAAACTTATGATGAATATAAGTTCATTTTTCATAAGTTAAATTTTTTAGAATCTTGAAGGCCAGCTGTGAATTCAGTGTTTTAGATTTAGAATATCTCATGCTAATTTAGTGCTGTTTATTAAAAACGTATTTTCATTAACCTAATGTCCCTCCAGAACCCTCACATTTGAGCACCATCTAATGTAATGGCTGCATCCTGAGTACACACAGGTGTATCAGAAATGTAAAGGCTTTATGTGAGAACTCTAAAATCAATCTCAGAACATACGTTATACAATAGCAACAGTATAAACACTATATTTTTATTTCAAGATTATACTGCTACCAGAAATTTCTCAGTGTCTGGGTCAGGCTTTTTTATCATCACTGTAGAGATGTTAACTGTATGGTGTTATTATATGTATAATCAGAATTAGAGATGATATGGCAGCTTCCTTAATACATAACCTAATTAATGGCATATCTTCAGTCTTTCCTTCATATTTACAAGTACCTGTATGTACTCAGTAATGGTACCATAGGTCTGTGTAGCTGTGTCATACCTGGTCCCTAATGGTGGTCTGTCCCCTTCAGCAGGTTCTGTATTAAGAATGATTATGTTAGAAAACAAAATAAGCAGTAGCTGCAGCTTTAATATTTTCTATTTAAGCTGAAAACTAAATATACAAAAATTATGAAAACTACAAAAGTGGAATAGAGAACTATGTAGAAGACTATTTCTACAATATTTTAGATTTAACTTTCAAGAGTAGTTTTGTTTTTATTTTAAGCTGTTAATAGTAATATTTAACTTCATGACTGCAGTAATTAAGCAGTCTTGTTCATCTCGGTCTCCTTCTATTCCTCTTTTCGCCTCCCCCTTTGTTACTTGACGTGCCTGTGTGTTTCTATCCTCACAATCATAGGCATAAAATACAATGCAAATGGTTTATGCTTCCAGAATGAGACAAGTTATTTTGCGTTTATAGTGGAAGTTTCAGTAGTGAGCTTTATAACTTCAAATTCTCTTATTAACTTAATTTATCTTAAAGTCCTGATACCATGGAGATGGTGACTTCTCAGTTTGTGATCTGAACTCAAGATGAAGCTATTCAGACTGTTTAGTTCTGAAAGATTAGTTAGACAAACTAAACTTGTTACGTTTTGTGTATCAACTTGAAAATAGTTGATAGTCTGACATCCTTTCAGGATGATGATCCAGAACCTCAAGCAACAATTGCAAATGCATCTAATATTGGTGACTTGTTTTTGGGCGAGATGGAAGAGACAAAGCAACAACCAAACAATGTACGAGCTAGTACCAACAAATTACAAAAAGATGTAGGACTGAATGAAAAAGCAAGGTATGCCTTTGTCAAAGGATAGTAGAATCATGCTTTAGGCAACTGCTTGCCAAGTAATATGCGGGTAATTTATTTACGCAGAGAGAAGTTTTATGAAGCTAAACTTCAGCAGCAGCAGCGGGAGCTTAAGCAGTTACAAGAAGAAAGAAGAAAATTGATTGAAATTCAAGAAAAAATCCAAGTGTTACAGAAGGCTTGTCCTGATGTTCAAGTAGGTAGAATGTTGCTCTTGAGCTAAACGTAAAATAACTTTCACACCACTTTTTCCACTACAAAAATAGGAAAAAATTTGAAATTGGTAATATTTGTATACTGTAAGCAACTGGACTTCTAAGCCTAGAGAAAGAGCTCTGTTTATCTCATTCCACTGTAGATTCTTGCTCAGTGATTGCTCTATCAACCTCTAATTTCACTGTAGTTTGTCCTCAAAAGCCTTGATTTGAAATCTTCAAAGATCTTATTTTTAGCCTAAAATTTGTCTGTCCATACCTGCTAGTTACGGCATCTTCACTCCTTTTAGTAGTCATTTGCAGAGTCTGGTATTTGAAACAATGTTGTGTCTTGTAAGCATGATCAGCACTGTTGTATTCAAAATTAACTGCACAGTGTGATATTGTTTCTCATACTCTGAAGATGAACTTTTTTTTTCTGTGAAGCGGGTAGTAAGTTATCAATACTGCACATTTGCAGCATTATAGGATACTATAATACTACATAATATATAAAAATAGTTTTGCTGATTCCTGGCTAAGTTCTGAAATAAGTGTTTAGTCTTGATTTGAAAATCCCTTTAAACTGAATACTAATTCTTGTGTCTCATAAAGCCTGAACTGTGTTGGGTTTTAAACAGCAGGTTTAGAAAGCTATGCTACTCTATTCTACCATTTTACTCTTTCTTTCAGTTGTCAGCTGGCCTGGGTAACTGCCCAGCAAACAGGCAGACTTCACCAGCAACCTCAACTCCGGCCATGAATGAGTGTAACACAGCTGGCAAGCCTGTACTTGAATTTGATGAATCTGTACCAGTGGGCAATGAGGTATTTCACACTTGATATTCTGTGATTTTAAAAAAGGTTTAAAAATGAAAAAAGTTCTCGGTGACTTTGACACATTTTAGAGTACTTGGTGCAGGGGGTGTAGTAGTAGCCATTTTAACAAAGTATGTGTAACTTCCTTGTTTCATTTCTGGAAAGAAGTAAATGTTGACCTGAACTGGCAAGAGATCTTTCCCCACATATAGCAGTTGTTGATGAATATTAGTGTGGAAGTTGAATGAATTTTGGATTTGTATTGTGAATATTTAATAGTGTATATCACAGGCAAGTCATCCATGAAGAAAATGATGGCAGTATTTAAAACATAGTTTATCTTCTGTGCATCTTCCTTCCCCTTTTTCCCCAAAATTCATGTCTTAAATAATGATCTGGATATGGCTTAGTCTTCATGCTACATTTGTAGGGGTGGAGGGGTATGTGATGAAGTGTTTCCTGGCTAGACTAGACATCAGAAACAAATATCTGAAAAATACCCTTTCTCTGAGTTGCATCTTTTTGACAGTTTAGGTGAGGCTGCTTGGGCAGTGGCTGTATTATTGCCATTAAAAGCCAAATTTTTTGTTCTCCAAGAAGAGAATTTCAGAACTTTGGCACCTTCCAAATAAGCATTATAGGATAACTCATTTCTTTTCACTAAACGAAACGTCTGAATTCTTCCTGCTAAAAAAAAACTGTCTCTGAAATGAATGTGCTGATGCAATTGCTAACCCTCTACAAACAGGTTGGGTTATTAATTATCAAAATACGGATTTTTGTTGGAAAACTTCTTAGCTCCAGCGCCACCAACTAGTCCAGATACTTTCAGGTTTGAGTACATTGTCACTTACCTGTCTCTCGTTAAGTCTGCATTTTCCAGTCTAGTTCACTTACACAATTTTTTTTTGGTATGCTATACTATTATGTTGTGCTGTTTATGTGTTTATGCTAGTATCTTGCTATTTATGCTTTCACTGTATCTAATTTAAGGTAGATAAAGATCTCCTCCTACCTGTACCTTTCCTTTATGTGCTCTTTGTAAATCACCGCTTCCTTAAGTCTTGTTCAAACATACTCTGCGACTTGAAGTTTCTGCAGATTGCAGAAAATTTTTGTTGTATCCTCTGCTTTGTTATCAAATAAGTACTTGACGCAATTTTCACATTTCTCCAGAGGGTAGTGTTCTGTCATGCTACTTAAAAAGCTAACTACTAGTACATAAATTATGTGATAAAAACACGTGCGATTTTTCTTTAAAAATTCCGTGCTATGACGTTTGATTGCATTCTTAAATTTTGCGGTATTTGGGATAAATAGTAAATATGAGATGTATCCTGCACCTTTCTGTAGTGTGGCTTCAGTTACAGTGTGACACCAATGCCTGAACAAAAAGGTATTGGTGTAGTATCGGAATTTTACCATGCTTTAGATTGTATTTATTTTGTTTATATTCTAATGTCTTCCATTTTACTGCAAACAGTTATGGTCTGAGATGAGAAGACATGAGATTTTAAGGGAAGAATTGCGAAAGAGAAGGAAGCAACTTGAAGCTTTAATGGCTGAACATCAGAGGAGGAGAGAGCTCGCAGAAACGATATCTACTGTTGCTGCATCTGTTAAAAGTGAAGGGTCAGAAGCTCAGCGTACTCCACAGCAGAGCAGGACTGAAAAGTAAGAACACGAGTCACTCTATGTTAGTCTGTGGGCATTGCTGTTGTTCAGTGAGATGTCAGTCTTGGGGCAGTTGCCTGTTTTAATCTGGGCACTGAATGTGATGATATGACAGAGCAGTAAATTAATTTCTTGATTTCTACAGTGACTATTAGTTGGGAACTTGCCAGTTTTACAGGTCCTCCCAGCATATGTAGTCTCCCTTGCTCCATAAATGGTGAAAAATCACCTAAGGAGAGGAGAGGTGTGGAACACGCCAAATACTCAAGAATAATTTTTCTTCATCTCTACACCATTTATAACAATAATAAAGTAATAGTTTTCCAAAAGAGTAAGTAATTTTATTTAACTGCCCCAGTATTAGAAGAATACTAGTTTCATTTTGCATGGGTGAGATAATGTTTAAATGAATTTTGATGCAACTTGATTAACTGAGGATAGTCTTGTAATTGTCAACAGATTGTTTTAATAATTTGTCCTAAACTAAAATTAAAAAGTACTCCTCCCTTCCCAACCCACTTTCCCTCCCTCTCCAATGTTCACTAGGACAATGGCTACCTGGGGAGGTTCTACTCAGTGTGCACTAGATGAAGAGGATGGAGATGAAGATGGTTATCTCTCTGATGGAATTGGTCAGGCAGAAGAGGAGGAAGAAGATGCATCAAGTTTGAATGACAGTTTCTCTGTTTATCCCACTAACAACATACCAGAAAATGCATATTTTCTTAAGGAAAACAAGGATAGGTCAGTGGCATTACTTGTTTATCTGATGCTTGTCAGAATACATTTGGAATGGGTGGGAGAAGCATTGCATTAACTACAAGGCATCCTTTTACAGCGAAGTTAAATTTCTTTCTGCTTGCTAGGGGCTGTGTGCAGTAGCACTTTCTTGTCTGTGTCTCGGTAGCTGCGGTGTATACAAGTAATTTGATTATTTCTTCTGTTTTCAGTCATATTAAATGTCTGCCGTTGAGCTTTCCAGTTGTGTTGCAGTAGCTTATGTTCCTATGTTGTTTTAATCGGCTTAAAAGATAACCTGTATGATATTTTTGCTGTGATATTGATCAGTTTCTCCAAAAAAAGCAATTCAGAGAATTAAACTAACTCTGAAATTTTTACTTTCAAATTGTTGGCTTTTGCAGCTTTAAAAACTATTTCCTATTAGATTTTTTTAATTAACGTAAATACTTTTAACTCTTGCTTATTTGATTGATTTCCTCCATATAAGTGGTGTGTGACTAAATGAAAATGCCATGTTAAAAGTAATGTATATCTCCAATTGATTTCCTCTGTTTTTGATACGCAAAATAATTTTAGTAGATAGTAGCCTTCTACTCAGGAGCTGGGCTTCTTAATTCTTAGTGTATTATGTTGGTGGCTTCTATTTTAATCTGAGTATGTGTTATATATCAGTAATGGACGATACTGAAAACAAGATCCAGAAACATCCTTAGCATTTCTTTTTTGATAGTGGTTGTCAGTTGGAGATGGCTGTTGTTTTCAATTTGTTTAGGATAATGTTGGATTGACAAAATCACCAGTGATTAGCTGGCATGCTGAAATGGCCTATGCCAAGTGTGTTGTGGACATACAACTGATGCATAATTGGAATAAAGGAAGTATCATTAGAAGAAGTTGTTTAAAATGTTAACTTTTGTTCTCATTTTTCCTTTTTTTCCCCCACCCAGGTGGAAAAATTGCCGTCCTCTTTCAGCAGATGGGAATTATCGTCCATTGTCTAAGGCCAGGCAACAGCAAAACATAAGTATGCGACGTCAGGAAAACCTTCGGTGGATGTCTGAACTTTCATATGTGGAAGAAAAGGAACAATGGCAAGAGCAGATTAATCAGTTGAAGAAACAGCATGAATTTAGTGTCAGCATTTGTCAGACTTTGATGCAAGATCAGCAGGTAGATATGAAGAGAGCAGTTATTTTGCTCTTTTAACTTTGTCTTCACACCTGCCCCCC